ACACACACACACACACACACACACACACACACACACACACACACACATTGAGATTTTTTTTTTTAAAACAGCATAATTCAGACACCAAATGTTTTATTTACCCTTGAAATAGTTTTGGCCCCAAAAGAGGAATTAAATGATCCAAACTTCCATTTAGTCCAGCATGTGTTAGGCTGCATTATTGTGCACACATTTTGATGCTAAGCTTCCAGTTTCTTTTTCATAATAACTGGTGATTCTTATTCAACCGCTGCTCAGAGGGATCTTTGTCCCTTACTGTCTGGTTGAACCATTGGACACAGTTTTGTTCTCCATGTACAAAACACACCCTTCATAACAGAACACAAAATAACATCTACTTGTAAAGAGGACTTTCCACAAATTAAGAGCATGAAAGACAATTCAAACACACAGAGTAGTCCTCGCAGTAATCGGACTGGACCCAATCAAACTGCTGTGGCAGGAGATTACATCTTTCAATGGTAGGGCGTCTCGATAATCTTCATTCAGTGTGGCTTTGTGGCACAAGGCAGTTAAAACTGCCTGTGCCAAAGCACACTGTATAATATCCATTGGGCTTAATAATAATAATCATCATCAGCTTTATCCAAAAGTTTGGCGCGCCTCTCCCCACACAGCGTTGCCAACAGCGGCGTGAAAAATACATCAAAACGTGCGGCCTGATCGGGAATAGCGCGGAAACTATTTTTCGGAGAGATTCGCCCAGCGGTTTTCCCGAAAATCCTGGAAAACCCTGAAAAACAGAGCAAAATGAAGTTTGGCGCGCTCCCCCTCACACAGAGTTGCCAACAGCGGCGTGAAAAATACATCAAAACGTGCGGCCTGATCGGGAATAGTGTGCTATCTATTTTCCGGAGAGATTCGCCTAGCGGTTTTCCCCGAAAATTCCCGAAAATCCCCAAAAACTGAGCAAAATTTCTCCATTCACTTGAATGGGGTTGCGGCGTGAAGAGAGCTAAAAAAACACTTAACTTTGGGCCCATATTGACTAGCCGTACATTAACGTAGAAACATGATTCAAAGTTTAAAACGTAGACAAAATGCTGCACTTTATTGAGCCAAAGGGACATTTTGATAGCTAGCACAGTTTTCATGAAGTCACAGATTAAGTTTCAGGAACATTTTGGGTCTGTTTCAGATTTTATAATGGGTGTGTATTGCGCAGCTCGTTAAGAGCTAGAGTGAGAGCATAACTGTCAGAGTGGAGCGGAGCAGGAAAATATTCTGTGATTTTTCCGAACAAATTGCTCCAGCTCCCACAATTTTTACTCTTTATACACCATTTTTGGCCAAAAAGCTTGGAAATGTTGTGCTGTCGCACACAGATGTCTGTGGAATCCCACAGATTTACACATTTGGCTCAAAGAGCCACAGAGCGACATGAACTCCAACCAACTGCTCCATTAGACTCCATGTTAAATCTCACCACTCATTTCTCAAAGAAAGCAGACGGTACCAGTTTTGCATATTGCGCTGGAGCTCACATTTTAACACCACAAACATAAAAAACACATCTCCGCGTTTGCCAGAGTCTTATCTCTCTTACGGTATCCATATTTTATTGTTTAGTCTCATGGTTTAGGTATAAAGGGCATATGTTTGACCGGTAGTTTTGTTGAAAATCAATGTTCACTCTCTCTTAATTAGCCTCTAACACACAGGTGCTCCAATCACCAACATGCAACCAAGCACACAGGTGTTTATATGAGCTCATTAGTGATGTTGATAAACACACAGAGGCACTGAGACACACGCACATACACTCCTCTCCCTCTCTCTCTCTGTGTGTGTCTCTCTCTCATACAGTCATTCAGGTCTTGGAGACTTTTAGAGGACTCCCCCCCCCCCATTTTAAAATAAAAGCCACACACACATGATTTAGAGATATACGTGATGCAGCTCAGCCAATCAAATATGGGTATTCTGATAAGTTTCCTGATTCGCCGCACCGCGACACAAGAGGGAGAGACGAGGAAAGACATGGCAGAGCAGGACAATAGTTATGTAAGCTGTAAAAGATAAAACATAGGACAATCTCCAAATGAGAAAGATTGCCAGAGAGATCAGTCTCTCTCTCTCTCTCTCTCTCTCTCACAGATATTTTTAGAGGACTTTTCCCCTCTCACCCCCTCCCCCCATTTCAAATTAAAAGCCCCACAGAATGAATTCTAACTGGAATGCTTGTGATGAAGCCTCTAATTTTAGTGTCAAACATGATTCTGTCTCCTCTCCCCCTCTCTCACCCACCCAGTCCCACCCTTTCAAAATAAAAGCCCCACAAATACAAGATTGAATCCAAGAGTATGAATCTAAAATGCAGAAAAGAGAGTAGCGCTATCTCAAGTGAACCTGAATGACACTACCGGTAACATTGGCGTGTGTATATATTGCGATTTCTTCGGGCAGTAGAAGCCACACTGTCAAAATTTCTTTAGGAATTTTCTAGTTTTTTTTGTTGCTCACACCAGATGGCGCCAAAATGAGGATATCTGAAGTAGATGCAGTATTTAGTGATCTTTCATACAGCTCAGCGAGGTATATGTGTCTGTCTGCGACTGATGCTGCTGTGTGCAGTGATGCTGGGGGGGGGGTTTACCATAGCGGTCCCAGCTGCACTGCTGTCTTTCCGGGCAGACTTCCATGACAGTTACAGGGCAGCGTGTCTGGAGGAAATACAAGAAAGAACATAATTTACTTTCTATATATACACACACACTGCAGCTTCCTGTACTCACAAGAGCAGCAGCAGGACAAAAAGCATATTGACCAAACAACAGCCAATAGTTGCATTCTGTATTTTGGCCAACAATTGAAAAAGCATTGAACGATTGCTGTTGCTCTCTACTTCCTGCATGTGCTTCACAATAAATGTATTTCAATGTGAAAGCAATTGTAAGCCTTTACTGTGAAACTGGACGTGAGCACACCATTCGCTGGGATTGTCTCAACACATAAAGGGACATTTCCTCAAGTTTATCACAAATATTCAAAATCACCACACCTGGAGATACATGGTTTTCACTGGACAGGAAGGTTATGAAAAAGTGTAATCTGAAAAGTAACTTTTGCCAAATGTAGTGCAGTAAAAAGTACAATATTGTCAAGTTGCTGAACACGGAAATACTCAAGTAAAGTAAAAATACATCTGATTTGTGCATTTTAATGTTCTTTGTTATGTTCCACCGCTGAACGTCAGCACACCAGCATTCTATGACGGACCGCTCTGTTGTTGAACTCACCGTCCACCATGTTTCCCTGTTTGAGGAAGACTCTCTCCTCACACCACTGACAGTGGACCAGTTTCCGTAACTTCTTCGCTGACTCATCAGCCTGTGTGGGACCTCTGAGGACTCTCACCACCACCAGGACGAAGTGCTCCAACGCCACCGCCAGCAGCACCTCGATGCCTTTGTTACAGCGAGCCGCCGCCCTACAACAGACAGCGAGGATTACGTTTTCTTCCGCCCAAGTATCACATGAGGGACTGACCTACACCACAAGTTAAAGTCCTACCTGGCCATAGTGGCCACCACCATGCGTGCGGCCAGCTCCCTGTAGTACTCCGTGCGAACGATGTGGCAGCCGTAGTGACGCAGGGTGACGTTGGGAGCCTTGGAGTACAGAGAGCCCGTGTCTGTGGACGTCACAGAGATGATGCCCAGGTTCCGGACGTTTCTGAAGGCGGCGTCCAGGTAGTTCACTGCCGTCCCAAACGGATCCAAGTGGCTGAAAGATCCAAGAGATAAAGTGACGGATTCAATCCCTAACGGCAAATATTTAGGAAGCATTATCTTTCTTTTATTCTGCATAATTTAGAAAAAAAAAATCTTGTGCACCCAGGCTCAACCCCTTTTATAGACAAGACAATCACTCTAAATTAGAGACATTTGGCAGCATTCAAAAAAAGGACCATTGACGGTGTAAAATAAATGATCCGTTATATAATTTATGAAATAATATTTTTTTTTAACAAGCCACAATGAAGCACACAATCAGATTCAAGCTGCTACTATTGCAGTATTTCCAGGGTGTTATCTTATATTAGTCTTATTGTCAACAAACCAACTAGTGTTCGTCCGTCTCTCAGTACTGACTGACTGACTGTGGCTCTCAGCTCCAAGCCCATTGGTTCCTACTGGAGACGTAAATCTTTAAAAAAATCTAACAAATATAAAGTTTATTTAAAAAAAATGCTTTTTTAAAGTTCAGTAATTTCCTTAAACAGCTGGTCACTGTAGTTTTTAATCACACAAACAAAGAAAATAGTGCATTTATTGGGGACTACTTTCACTACAGTGTGTATGTTCATTGTGTCACAAGTCTTTACGGACTAAAGGCTGAATTATCACCATAACTGTGTCTTCACTGTGTATTCCTCAGAAAGTATTGACACAGGACTGTATGTAGTCATCTGACCAATAAGCTAAATGGATCACACACTTGATCAAACCCTTCCTACTTACATGTAGTCAAAGGGCCACAGGTGCATAGTGACGTTGGCGTCCATCTTGACGACCTCCACCGTGGCGATGGGCGCTCCCTCGACTTCGCTGCCGGCCCCGTCGGGCCCCCGGGGGCCTCGTGAGCCACGTGAGCCTCCGTCCACCCGAATGTGGTTGAGCTCGCAGTTCTCTTTGATCATTTTGATGCACGTGTCGCTGATATCGGTTATGGTGACTTTGACGGCGTTACGAAGGTGCTTCGCCCACTGGAGGCCCATAATCCCTGAGAGAGAGGACACGTATAGCAGACGCAAGGTGGAGGGTTAGAGCGAAGGCCTGGGAACATTTTATCAACAAATACTTACAAGGCATCATGTAAATTAGGGATTTTTGCTTCTCGCACATCTCTTTTCATTTTGAAACAGATATTTTTTGACTTATTTCTAATTGTATAATCCTATTTATATAGATTCTTGGCTTGTAGTGCTGGTTTCTTTGCCTTTTATCTTATTATGTGAATTGTGACGATTATTCATATTGAAAACCTACTTCTCGTGCTGATTCTGATGTGGTTAAACTTGATAATCAATCCTGATCCTGATCAGTCTCAGATTCAAGATTTAAACTAGGGCTGCGACAAAACAATTGTTTTTACTTTCTCAGTTAATCAATTACAATTACTATAATTAATCTATAATTTCCAAAATTCCAACTGTACATATTGAGATGACTTGTCTGGTCCGAGCTACAGTCTAAAAACCAAAGACAGTCAGTTTATTATCTTAGAAGACAAAGACAACCACCAAATATTCACGTGTCTTTTGATTCTTTTTTAGCTTCCAAAAATGACGATTGACTGATCGACCAATCGTTTCAGCTCCGAACTCAGCCCACAGGTTAAAATAATTCCTCTCATTCACAGGAATTTGAAACAGTAGATCGTTCCAGGAGAATTGAGTAAATGATACCCAAGTTTAACAGTTTTCTATTTCATGAAAACAGGTTGTGGAGGAACATCAGATAAACTGCAAATACTTAGGCATGACATTTTTCATTGAAAAAGCAGCCCGTATGTTGTTAAAGCTTTTTGTGGTATTTAATGCTGTTTTCTTATTTCTGGAGACCTTTACAGTCCCACCTGTGGCTCCAAAAGCGTCCAGACACTCGAGCGGGTTTCTCTCCTCCGCCAGAACAGCCAGCGAACAAAACACCAGCTGCCTGAAACACACGAACGAACTCTGCTTTAATGAATGTCCATAATCAGAGTTTACATAAAGCCGTGAAGCAAAACTGCACATGTATTTTTGTAGGGACTCATGTCTTGTGCGCGTGCCGACCTGTTGGTCTTCATCTTGCGGTTGAAGTAAGTGTCGCTCTTCTGCGGGGTGGTGTGGTTCGGGAGGAGCTGGACGTTGGTTCCGAGTTCTTTCATGATTTCATAGGCCTGACCGGACGGAGCTGCCGAGCACGTTTTAACACATTAAAATCATGCAGAAAGATCGCATTCAGTAAGGATAAAAGAATCTCTGGAATAGGCAGGACCTGGAATAAGGAGATCTGAAGCATGTGATTGTACTAAGAGCTTTTTAGACAGCGGCAGTGTAGATGTTAAAACACCTGCACAAAGCTAATGGCTGTCTCTTTTAGGATGGAAGGTTAGACACAATATAGAGCTGCATTACGGGAAGTGTAGAGTCCAGTGACGAACGGTCCAAATTTGACCGTTCTTTCTCTTGTGAGTCCCGACAGCTATCCAATGGAGCATGTTGCGGCGAGATGGTGTCAGTGCTCATTACCTGGCTCCTCAAACGGGACGTCTGAGCTCCCGGAGTAGCTGGCTTCAGTCTCTCCTTTGTTGACGTGTCGCTTCAGGTGGCTGACCATGTCTGTCTTGCGGGCGATGGTCACAGAACACACCACACAGTGGTAGTGAGCCACGTGTCTCCCCGATGCCTGGACACAAAATATCAAAGAATCGAAATTTAGGGGTGAAGGAAGAAACGAACCGCAACTACTTCACAGTATTTTAATGTGGCAGGAGGGAGAAGGGAGGTGTCCTTCAATTGAATACTTACCAAATTACCTCGGACATTACTAAGTAACTAGAAAGGTGCACTCAGCAGAGTGCAGATCTCTGCCAGGGGTGTCTGCACCGACCGCTGCTGCATTGTGTGAGCGATGTATGCAGGAGATTTGCTCGAAGTTGTCGTATAAGTAGCTTCATACAATTTTGCCAAAAACTAATCTAAACTTGCAAAGCTGTCTGCTCAGTCTGCCTACTGACATTTAAAAAAAAGAAAAGCTGAACTTACAGGACCCTTAAAATACAGCACCACTGCAGCAAAATAAGATTCATGCTTACAATGAGTTTGTGAAAAGTTTAAAGTGATCGTCATGAATGAGTCCGTCTGTGGTGATGCAATTTGAAGCCACAGTGCTTCTATTGTTCCAAACTGAAGGGAGCTTGAGCTGCAGACAGTTTGTGCTTCTTTTTTTCTCACCTGATCTCCACTGAGGCTGGGCTTCAGGTTTCTGCAGGGCAGGTGGCAGATGCACATTCTCTGACCTGTTAAAGGTCAACAGTCACATGTCAACATTAAGGAAGTAGGATTTGATGATTTCCCGAGACCAAGATACCAGACGTCACTTTCACACGCATTTTACGTACGTTTCTGGACAATAGATCTATTTTTACTTGATATTTCAACTGCCAATGACAGAGTTTGCTGGATACAGGTGTCATTAATTGTTGCCAGACAATGTACAAAGCCTTTGGACAACAGTGTTCTTGGTACAGAGTACTGACCTCAAACTCATCCAACATCTCTGGAACGCCGACTGTGAGCCGGACCTGATGACATTCCTACCTTCAAACTCCACGTAAACTTTCCAGTGGAGGTTCTGCAGGTGTCGGCGGAGCTTGTGGCTGTAGCAGGCTTTAAACTTCTCCTCGGGACACAGAGGACACGATTTACGTCCCGCTGATGAATGAAGACACAAAATTAATAAGCAGGGCTGCTTGACTGTTTGCTCTACAAATGTCAGAAAACTGGATTGAAATGGCAGTAAATGGCAAACATGACATTTCTAACAACTAACTCCAAAACTACATATTTTGTTTACTATCAAATACGACAATGGAAAGCTGAAGGAAATACACAGTGTGAAGTAAATTTCGGGGCATTTTTGCACAAAACAAATAATCTAACATGTCCTCTCATTCTTCTTCTATGTCACCTGATTTCTCTTATAAAAAATAAGATAAACAGTGGAAAAGAGAGGGATGCGTTACTGCAGAACTGAACTTACCACCATTGAGGTCAACCAGCACCTCGAGTCCCTCCAATATAGTTTGGATGGAGACGTGTCTCTCTGTTTGTAGAAAAGCACAATACTTATGTAAAGTCAGAACACTTCTATAATGTTTCAGTCCGTGCCATTAAAGTTTCATCCTTAATGTCAGTGAATACAGATGGTATGAAGCCATCACTGATGTCAACCAATCAATGCACAGAAACAGCTTTTATTGATTCACCAGGGGTTGTGGTTGAGGGTTTGGCATCGCTGTCTGCAGCAGCTTCAGTCTTCACTGCCTGTTCTGCAGCTTGGTCACCAACTGACGGTGCATCTCCACCACCATCTCCACCTTCACAGACACAGACAGACAGACAGAGAGATGGGAAAGTTACAAAAAAAATGTTTCTTTAAGCTATTTTGATTATTTCTTTGAGTGGACCAGCTGGCATTGGCAGGTACAAGGTTCATTAAAAGCTTTTTACAAAAAAAAAACAGACAAACTAATTAGTTCAGCTTGACTTGTCTGAGGGTTTCCTGCTTCATCTTACTGGAAAACTTTTCAAAACCAGGTTATGTCCTACGTTTTTAAGTTGAAGTTGGAACAATCCAGGTACACTCAGTAACAGAGCTCTCACCTTGAGGTGGCTAATCATTACCTGGCTAACATTCCTCCCTCACATTAGCGATCAGTCAGTCTTATATGTATGCAACAGACAGACCTGATTAGACTTAGACCAACATGACATCTAAGACCAGTCTAAGGCCAAAACTACAGCTATTTATGCTTGTCAACTTCTTAGGAGGATTGGTCTCATGGCCTCAGTGTTTATAATACACGTATAATATATAGGTCTAGCTATATTAGAAGTCTAATATGCTACACATCTGCTCCCACTGTTTGTTGACACAACATAAATTGTTCAGAAACAGAATCTTCTCGTCTGAAGTTTGAGCTATCGCTAGTGGACTGTTGTTTTCTTTGTTCTGAAACTAAAACCAACGTCAATAAGCCGATAATAAAGGGACAGCTGATGTCCAAACTGAGCGGTCCTGTAGTGCAGCTCCGTGATGAGACCGTGTCATCCTAAACTGTAGTGCAACCCAAACCCACACTCTTATTAAAGCTCTGTGAAGAGATGCACTGTTGTAAGTCACTGTTAACGACAACGGTTTAGCTAACGTTAGCTCCAGCGCCTTTGACGCTGTTAATGTTGACTATTTAGGTCCCATGGCGGAGCTCCGTGGTGAGGCCCTCGTTTAGTTAAGCAGTTACAAACTCAAATTCTCTGTGAATTCACTGCACAGCGCTGACATTGACTATGCTATAATTTATTCTCCACTTTACGGTCCAAAATGTAGCGTTCAATCAACAAACGGGCGCAGTTTACTTACGTTTGATATCGACGTCCTCCTGGTGAAGCTGAGCAGCGTCTGCCTCTTTGAGCTCCGCCATTGCTAACTACAGCAACATACGCAGGATATGTTCCGTCGTACGTGGTTTACGCAAACTGCGCAGTTTGTAAACGTAGATTGCTGTTGAATTTAACAAAAAAGACTAATTTACAAAGTTACACGGTTCATTTATTTGTCATTTTACAACATAGGTTCCCACAATGAAATGTAAGTTGTAGCGCACACTACACACACATAGAAAATGCAATACTTAGATTAGACTAAAATTAAATAAATATAAAGATAACATAGTTTACAGTTAAAAGAAACCTTCAAATGAAAGGATTCAACAAATGGGTGAATGTGTGAAAATGTAATATGAGATTTTGTGCCGAAAAGTGTTTTTCAGTTGGACGTTCACCAAACAGTAACGACGTTACACCCGTAGGTGGCAGCAGAGCGTCGTAATGAAGGCGTCTCCAGTCAACCATTGTACCAGCTCTCTGTGCGGACACACTGCACACGGCCGCTGCTCAGAGAGTACACACACAGAGAGTTCACATGTGAATGTGTTTAAGACAATGCACATGACATCTTAATATTCTTATTTGATGAGAAGGTGCAGCCATAAAATGTGGCATATCCGGTTTGCATATTTAACATAGTGCTGCATAGTCATAGGCTATTATATCTAACCATCAAGTTAAGACAAAATATTAGGACAAAATTTGATGAGTCATGCTTGAGTTTTTTAAAGATGTGGCTGTAGGTCTCCATTCCAGGAAAACGAAAGTAAAGACCAGAAGATTCAAACATATGCATTTGCATTCAAAGGATGTGCAACATGTTTATATTTCCATTCGATGGGAAGGTGCAGCCATAAAGTGGACAGCAAGACATACAGTTAGTATACTCAGTGTATGTCTTGCTGTTTACTAGCGAAATACTCTACCCAAGTGGCTCATTTGCGTCAGTTTGATCCTAAAGCCATATGATGGGTTTAAATGTTTAAATTTTAACACAGTTTAATTCTTTTTAATGTCACTTGAAAAGAAAGCTGCAATAATATTGATTAGTACTTAATAATAGATTACAAAATGTATATTTTTATATTGGAAGGAGCCGATTGGCTGGCCTGAAATCCTTGTTCCCATGCTGCCAAAGGGCAGCAGAGACACATAGAAAACGTTTGTAATTTCTTAAAAGTAAAGCAATTTGAATAGTGAAATTTTGTTTACATATACTAATCTTATTTTATATTTTATTACCAATGTTAACAAGTATTGTAATACAGACCCATGTTGTGAGCAGAAACATGTGCACCCTGTTACAGACTGCTGTACTTAAAATGGTAATTACATAGTTGGCATGATGTAGAAACTCTCCATATGCAGACCAGAGGATAACCCTGTTAAGGATTTTTATTATTCATTCATTTTATTTTATGTTGAATAGTTAAAAGTACAAACAGTAAATAAGCTTGAAGGATTTTACATGGGATAGCTTCGTGGCATCATTGTCATGACAACAGAGCCAGCTATAAAGTCAAAGTCAAAGTCAAACACTACAGCCTGAAACATTCACCTAAATAGTTTAGGAAGCCTTTATTTAAATAAATAAATTGATAATATAATGAATCATTACATACATATAATTCAGTGTTTGTGCCCATTGGCAGTTTATTCAATCAGTTGTGGGAAAGTGGCAGAAATATGACTTTGCAACAGTTATATATTATGTTCATTAGTTAGAATATTTGTTTATTTATTTAATTTAGCTCTCCTTAAATTGATCGCTGGAGCAATCACGTTTGAAAACACGCAACTTTTACTTTGAAGGCGAGCTGTCTCTGTTTACAGCTCTCGACTTCCTTTACTCAATTGTCATTATTAATCAAAAGATCTTGTCATTTGTCATTGTGTATGAGTTCTTTTCTTGTAATTACAAAACAGTAACTCATAACTCAGAAGAGAATTGTAAGATCTTTGGTACCTCTTTCCTTCATTCCCTCCTTTCTGTCTTTAGGCTACTACTATTATCCCTCCTGTGTTTCTTCAGTCTTGCCTTTCAGTCAGCGCCACAGGGATTTTGAAACCCTTTTTATTAACAATTATTACTGATCAGTTGTTTTCTTGAAGTTTCATCCCACACTTCCAGGAATATAATTCTGGTGGACAAATGTGAAATGTTGTTGAATTATTTTATTCTCCTTACTCCATTTTTTTTCTTCCTCGCTCTCCTCTGTGGCTCAAACTATTTCTTTACCTTTCTTCCTTCCGACCTTCCTTCCTTACCTCTTCCAGCCATATCTTTTCTTTCTCCCTTCTGTCCTTCTGACCCCCCCCCCCTCTTTTTTTCTCCTCCTGCCTCACTCTGTTTCTTCCTTCCTCACAGACGCCATCCTACCTTTCATTACTAATCTATGTATTCATTGCATACTTTGTTCACCTTTGTGTGTGTTTTTTTTTTCAGCCTTTGTTTCTTCTTGTCCATCATGTCCGTTTTTATAACTCTTTTCCATTCTTTCCCTCCATTGTCCCATTTCCTTAATACCTTCCTCTATGTCCACCCATTTGCCTTCCTTTGTCCCCTTCTGTGTCTCTTCCAAGTTTTTCTTCTTCACCTACTTTCCTCTTCCTACCTTACTTTCGCTTTGCAGCCGTTTGTTGGTCCATATTTTTTCTTCCTATCCTCTCATACTTCTTTCCTTATCCATAACCTAGTGATGTGTTTTAATATTTGTCATTTTTATTCCCCATCAGTGCTGCTCAGAGTCAAACAACACTGCTCTCAAAACTGGAGGCCCTGCAGTGCCACTTTACCTGGGATCTGGAC